GCATTTCGTGCTGATGACGTTGGCCGCTGACGCTGGGTTTGCGCCACCAATCGCTGGTTGGCGTAGCGTTTAAAAGCCGAGCCCAAACTGCAATGGCGATCTCTCTCTCTCTCTTTCCTTCTCCCTCTTATTCTTTCTGTGGGTCTCTGTGAGGACAGTCTCTCTTGCGAGGGCTAGTCTGAGAGAAGGTGTTTTGCTTGTTTAATGCTCTTGTCTAAAGTTTGCGATTTAACAATGTTTGTGAAATTGTCCAGTTAACTGACATGTTTGAGTGATGCCTCGGAGAGGTGTAGGAGTGAGTAAGTCGCGCGATATACATATACAACACTCAGATTGATATTTTGTATTAGTTCATTAGGTTCAGGAGAATGTGCTGTTTTCTGTATGTTTTGTTTTTAGTTAGAGCAGTTTAGTTAAGACGTTTGGTATGTTGAAGATGTTTCTTTTCATGCTTTTCTTTTCATATTTAGTTTAGTTTGGTGAAAACAGTTACTGAGTTTTGTTATATTTATTTCTTTGATTTAAGCACATTCAACTACTTCCTCTCCCCCCCAGGTAATTCATTATTTAATCATTGTAAATATTTTTCTTTCACTGTATAATATATTTTCACTGGTTTTTATGGGATATATGGGCAATAAATAATTGCAGTGATTATTTGATTCAGTTTATTTCTTTCTCCATCCGCTTGTCACACACATTAAACTAATGTATGTTATTGTCATCTACTCCTAGTTTAATATTAACATCTAAAAGGACGTAACAGTCAACAAATGCAGATTTGGGCTTCTGCGCATCTCTGGTCACGCATATCCGCCATTAGCGTGTGCATGTCTGCCGCGCGTGCATGTCTAGATGAGCGACACGTGCACGCAAGACTGTCAGTTGCGGCAAAATCAAATGCTCAATTGAAACTTTTTAAACTCCTAAATCAGTATTGGAGTTACTTTTGCACGCTGGAGGAAGGACGACACCATGGCTTAAGTATTTCTATTGGAGGGGTAATGTTCTGTTTTAAATATTAGTCACACAGAGCTGATGTACAGTTTATTGTGATATGAATGGGTTCTATGCACAGACGTGTTATTCAGCCACTGAAATCTCCGGGTGGAAGCTAGATTTGACTATTTTCAGTTTTATAAGGGAGCTTTTACAGCATCGATCATGTAGATTTATAACGCTATTCAGTGTAACAACAAAATATCAGAAAATAACGCTATTCCGCCTAGCCTGTTTGCTGAGGTGAAGTTTATTGGGTCATTTCTGAACAATGACAGCCTGTGATGCGCTCCCGATATTGTTTACCGCTACTCTGAATATTCAGTCTGAAATAGCCCCTGCTGAAAAATCAAGTTTAAACCAGCCTAGGCTGGTTGGCTGGTTTTAGCTGGTTGACCAGCCTGGTTTTAGAGGGGTTTTGGCCACTTCCAGGCTGGTTTCCAACCATTTCCAGCCTGGTCTTAGTTGGTCAGGCTGGAAAATGACCAGCCAAATCCAGCTAAAACCAACTTGACCAGCCTGGTTTAAGCTGGATATAGCTGGTTTTGGCTGGACTTCCAGCTTGGCTAGGCTGGTCAAGCTGGTTTTAGCTGGTCATCTCCCAGCCTGACTAGCTAAGACCAGGCTGGAAATTGCTGGAAACCAGCCTGGAAGTGGCTAAAACCCCTCTAAAACCAGCCTGGTCGCCTAGCTAAAACCAGCCAACCAGCCTAGGCTGGTTTAAGCTGGATTTTCAGCAGGGGCATGTAAGTGTGGCTTAGTAATAAGTGAAATTCCTGCACGTCGCCCGGCCAACCACAACTGGCGAATGAACTGGGTTGTCTGCTGTTGCAATAATATCCATCTCTGCTGTTGTGTCGTATTGGGCGCGCTCGTGATTTCAAGAGGCGTGGCTTTGAAACACAGTCCCGCCCTGCCGTCCAAAGCTAATATGCTATCCGATTAGCATTTTGGCAGATCACCTACTGCACCTTTAAAGTTGAGCTGACGTCATATAACAAGATTAGTGCAAACTAAACTGAAATTAAACTGGCCGGTCAGCTATTGCAGCTTCATGAGATAAACTCTGCAGGGTCCCCCAGAGCAGAGCTGAAGGGTTCACGGCTCTGCCATAGTTTCTCCTACAGTTTCTATCAAGTTTTGTTGTTGGTCGTTTACATCATCTTTAAAAGGATTTAGCTTAAATACAACCAACCATCCGAAGCTTTCTTACCTGAAACTTCTTTTTCCTGGTCAGACTTCCGGTCCAGTCACTGATGCGTCTAAATCTGCTCCTAATCGACGCTTTCTTTCCATTATTTTCAGGAGAAGCTTTGGATTTCCGGCAAGGCAAGGTGAAGGAGGAATACTGCTGTTCCTCTGGGACCCCTTCTGAACTGAGTCCCTCCATCACGGACACAAAGGAGGATCTGTGGTGTGAACGGCTGCCATTTGAACACTGCAAATCCTTGACCGTGGGGAAGGTGGAAGCAATTCTGGGATCCCTGTAGAGGTCGGTTGTAGTAATGGCTGGCAACTGCTCATCAAAAAAGCCTGTGTTTGTAGAAACAGTTTGCCTTTGCTGGTCAGGAGAAGCATTGTCTGAATCATTAAGTTCGACGCTGGTCCTCCAAGGCAAGTCGTACAAAGAGCCATCTGAGCTCAGAGAGCTACCTTTGCTGCTTTTCAAGCTGGACATTGCCTGTGCTGCTCCATTATGAGAATCCAATGAGGGTCCTGCAGCAGATAAACCACAAGTGGACTCCATGGTGGGGGAAAATTTGAGGAGCTGAACTGGTTCAGTGCAATTATTTAAAATAAGGGCACTATTGGGACTATTGTTAAATTCCACACGTACGCTACCATCTTTCTTTATGACAACCCTAGGGCTGCTCTGGTCTTCAATGTCCTCAAGTCTGAGACTTCTCTCAGGTGTCTTCATTGCATTAAGAGCATATTTATTACATGTTTTTCTCCTCTCCTTGTGATTGCGATACAAGCAGTCCTTTTCCGAAGGCAACATCAAGCAGCCACCAGGCAACAGGTCCTCAGGAACTTCATCCCACTGACTACCACTCTTTAGTTTCTGGGTGATGAAGTCATACTGGCGGGATATAAACGCCCGGCTGCTCTTAGACGTGGAGGAAGTTTCACCTTCATTTCCGGATTTCAATCTAGAAAATCTTGAACCAGCATTCCAAAAGCCTAAAGGTGATAAAACGTCTTCTTTGCTGGAGTGGACGCTGAATGAACAGGGTTTCTCTCGGTCAGGGATAATAAAGCTATTGCTTCTAGTGCCCTGGATCCTATACTGACTCTCCGAGTTTCCCATCCCAGATCTAGATCAAGAGAAAGATTCTGTCAGTCACACACATTCTTTTTATTTCTGGTTCCACCTTTAAAAATAATTGTTAAATTGTCAAAATCGTTCATTATTGGTGACCCTGGACAAATCACAAGTGTTATTAAAACAGTGAGATGAATACATTATCAGAAATCTCAATAAATAAACTTTCCATTGACGGGTGGTTTGTTAGGTTAGGACAGAGGTACCCAAACTTGGACCAGGAAGGCCGGTGTCCTGCAAAGTCTATATCAGGGGTCCGTTCTTGGTACCTCGCTTAAATGATCTAAGATGATTTGGCAGATCCTGGATCTTTTAATCTTGATAACTGATCTCTCGCTAATTTGGTTCTTCAAACAAGTTCGCGAATCAGATTAGAATGTCTGAATAAGCTGATCTGAGATCGCTGCGTGTGTTGTGAAGGACAGATCTATCGATCCTCGAAATCATGATCAGCAATGCAACGATTGGCTGACGGCACAGCAGCGTAATGACATCATCTGATTAATATTCAATTATCCATGTGAGCAAAATAACATCAAATTAGAAGTAAACGGCTTGTTAAATAAAACACGCAATAATTTAACACATTTGTTGTGAGCTGCAGGCTTCACACTTTCATCTGTCAAGAGTATTCATCATGTATTTCAATGCATATCAATAGCTCTACATTTTTTATCGGTGTAAAGAATAACTGGATGTTTTCAAAAGCATTTTGATATTGGTAAAGGCGTCTGCAACTTTTGTAAAGCATCAAATCACCAGCATATTAGCTGTCAAAACATGTTTATGACTGCATAAATGTATTATTGCTTTTAAAAAAGTCACATATTGTGCATTTCTATTATACACAATTTGTACTAAAGCGATCTAAATGGTTTATATCAATAAGTTTTCTCTTTGCACCACCAGGTGGCAGTCTTTGTACTTTCATTTCAGGGGTGCAGATTGCATAAGTTTTATTAATATGTATAACTTTATTTATTTTATTAATGACTATAACTTTATATATATGGTTTAAAAATATTTACCATTTTCCCAAGAGTATATAACTACTACTGTAAGAAAATATCAGAATTCGGCACATACTTTCAGTATTATCTTTGCTGGAACTGACCCGATCTAATCCTGTTTAGATGAATTGAACCTGCTCCCGATCAGGTTTGACTTAGCAGAACTGTTGCTATGACAACAACTCTCGGATCAGCTTTGAAGAACGAAACGATCCCGGATCATGGATCAAATCCAGCTAACTGAGTAATCCACCTACGAAGAACGGACCCCAGGGCTCGAAATTAACTTTCTTACTTGGTAGCACCGGTGCTCCCAATCTGAAATATTTAGGAGCACCAGAAAAAATTTAGGAGCACCCACTAAAAATGATTGATATATTTGACAAGTTGTATATTAAGGGATTTATTGTATTTAAAAACGACATCAATTGGGACTAACAAAACCCAGAAACAACTATCTAACTAATGCTGTGATGACTTAATATTTGTTCAATAATTCCTAAATGAATGTTGAATAATTATAAAATATTAATGATGACGATGACGACAATAATACTAATAATGAATAATATTTCTCATTATTATGCTGCCTTGAATGTGCTTTAATGTAAGTTATCTGCTATATAAAGTCCTGCTATTACTTTATGAAAAATAAATTGATGGTTTGCACCAAACACAAATGAAGCATTGTAGTAAGAAATATTTATTTTGTACTATTGTTTTTATATGCATTTCAGTTTAATAAATAATATTTCTGCTACAACACAAACAAAATAATATAATAAATCATTCAAGTCAATGCTGAAAGCTGCAAAGCAGTCATCAGTAATTAAATAGAAGAATAATATACACCTCAAGAAAGAACGGACAAAAGAAAGAAGGAAAAGTCTCACTTATAAAAGTTTTGGTTTCGGTTCGTGTCGTTTTAATGCTCAGCCTTGTTACGCGCTGAATTACATTTTTATGTGTTTGCGGAAAAGCATGCGAGTCAGCCGGCCCAATATAAAGGGGGCAGAGCAGGATTCTCCCGATGACCACTGGCGCAATATTGTTCTTTGTTATAACCCGCATCAGTTTAAACTCAGTAAAGGCGAGCTTATTTGGCGATGGTGTTTTAGCGGACATTTGCGCTGTTGCAGCCTGATCTCACGAGGAAACATATGAAAATGCTATGAATTGCCGTGAGATTGTGTTGGCGGAACACGCAGTGCATGCAAAGCATCGAGAGCCAGTTTACTTTTCACTCTTCAGCCGTTTGCATTCCCCGCGGTCTCAAAAGCTCCCTCCCTGTCATCTGACAGCAGAAAGTCTTGAATGATTGACAGCTAATATGAACCAATATAGCGGCAGGGAAGACCGATTTTAGAAGAAAAAAAAAAAACAGGTTGCACTATAACTGTTATATGCAGTCGCACGAATGCTCCCGATATATATTATGAGGTCGCATAGCTTAAATTTCGGGCGCATATGAAACCAAAATGGTCGCAATTTCGAGCCCTGTATATCCAACCCCAATCAGATACACCTGGGCTAACTAATCAAGCTCTTATGCTGCGGTCACACTAGAGTTTGAGCATGCGAAATTCCGTTGTAAGGTGCTGCGAAAAGATGATTAGACATTAAAAAAAGCGAGTGATTGGCCCATGTTTTGAATTTCTGTCTAGAGAGGTCATGTTTTGATCTTTGATTGGTCTCACACAATCATGTGATGCAATTGTGCAGGTCAGAGTTCACCAAGGTAGAACTTTCCAAAGCAGCGAACTGAGTTGTTGCTAGAGCGGATACGTTTGCGGCTGGAAGTTAACGCAAATTATTTCTATTATTTATTAAATTTCTCATTTGTTGTATTTTATTAACGTCTACCCCTACTACAACCCTAAACCCAACCGTTACAGTAATGTAAAAACTGTAGTTGTACCCAGGGCCGGAGCAAGCTGAACTGCCGCTCTAGGCAGAGGACGATCACGCCGCCCTCAACCCCAATGTGAAAACGAAAGTGACCGGTTATGAAAATGAAGTGAGGTGTCGCGGACCTCTTTTCCGGCGCTCTATGCGCGGATATAACTGACGCGCGGGTGCTGAGGGAGGGAGGGAGGTGTCGCGGACTGGCGGACACCGCCCTCTCTATTCTGCCGCCCTATTCGTGGATATAACTGAGGACGCGCAGGTGCTGAGGGAGGGAGGTGTCACGTTCACTGCGCGCTTTATTCTGCTGCCCTATGCGCGGATATAACTGAGGACGTGCAAGTGCTGAGGGAGGGAGGTGTCGCGGATGCTGCGCGCTTTATTCTGCTGCCCTATGCGTGGATATAACTGAGGACGCGCAGGTGCTGAGGGAGGGAGGTGTCGCGGACACTGCGCTCTTTATTCTGCCGCCCTATGCGCGGATATAACTGAGGACGCGAGGGTGTTGCGGACCTCAAATCTGCCGCCCTATGCGCGGATATAACGGAGGACACGCGGGTGCTGATGGAGGTGACGCTGACACCGCCCTCTCTATTCTATCGTCTATGCGCGATTATATCTGAGGACGCGGGTGGTGAGGGAGGTGTCGCGGACATTACTGAGGACGCAGGTGGTACTGGAGGTGTCGCAGATGCCGCCCTCTATACTGCCGCCCTAGGCGGCCACCTAGGTCGCCTCTATGGACGCGCTGGCCCTGGTTGTACCGAGTATTAGTTATGTTATCTATTAAATTACCCAATAAAATGTATTTTTAACGCCTACCCCCACCCCAACCCTAAACCCAACTCTCACAGTACTGTAAAAATATTAATTATTGTTATACAGTGTCATAAAAAAATGCTGCTTTATTAATGTGCATATCGCACTGCCGGCCGGCGGCATATCCGATCTAGACTTTACCAGCAAACTGCGAAACTAGTCGCACGAGCTTGCTTTTCTGGTTTGATACATCCACGTTCGTATGAATGGAAGTCTATGGGGAGAAAAGTGCAGTGTGACCGCAGCTTTACTAGGCTTTCTTGAAACATCCGTGCAGGTGTGTTGAGGCAAGTTAGAGCTAAAATCAGCAGGACACCAGCCCTCCAGGACCGAGTTTGGACACCCCTGGGTTAGGACATATCTTGAAAATCAGAAATAAATCTAAATACTGAGAACTTTTCAATTTAACTTAAATTTACATGTCCAAATGAAGTGCTAAACAATGCACATTACTAACTAAAACTGTTTTGTTATATATTTAAAGTAACATTTTAACTTAATATCTACTGTAATTATTTCTGGCATGAAAGAAAAATCTTTTTCACCCATTAAATGGATACTTGGCTATATACAGGGTCACTTTTTAAAGACTGCTTTTATGGGGTACATGCTTTGAGATTATAACTAGTCTGGTTGTAAATTTAAAGAATCACATGACAGAGACTTTCCAGTGAATTATACGGCACAACAATCCATGAGGCACACGGCAGTGATATATAATAATATACAAACTTACCAGTGTATTCAGGCCTCTTATGGCCTCGTTGTCTGCACAGCCATCATTTTCTCCCTCTTACAGTCCAGTTCTCTTGTGGTTTTCTGTGGGACAAAAAAAAATCACATTATGACATGCGTTGACTTTAAAAGGTTTAAATATATCACAGTACACCAAAAACTGAAAAGTTTTCATCATCTCAAGCAAATGACAGCTTTAGACTTCCTAAATCCAAACTTCCAGAAACACAACTGACATTCTCATATCCTCTATAGACTGTAAATATAAAAGCACCACTCGTCTCACAAACAAATTCTTCTTCATTCACTCTTTATTTTTCAATACACAAATTCCAGAAATGTTTTGGCCTGCACTCCTAAAACAAAAACAAAAAAGAGCTGGATACCAAACAGAGCTGTGGTCAGAACTTGCCCCTAGTACTATCCACAGGACTAAACCAACCCTACAACACATCTCTACAGTTCTTCCCCAGTCTGTTACACACAGTTATTCAGCAAACATTCTTTGTGGCTTCCAGTGTTTGGATCAAAACATAATTTTCACTAGTGAAAGAACTGTCCCTTTAAGAAAACAGTGTCCTCCACATATCCGAGAACACTTGTATACAAGCCAAGAGTTGCTGTAACAGGTATTAAACAAAGTTAAATCCGCATTAACTTCAGGAGCAGGAGAGAGATAGAGAGAGATAGAATCAAGTAAGTCCCAGAGATCACTTTGAAAGTAACACTATTATTTTGCATCCAATATAGAAATACATAAAATGCAAGCATACATAGAATATAGATAAATACAAAAGATACAAACAAAATTAAAGCTGCAAGCAGCGATGATAGGGACCTCGCACCCAGGCTCACCGCTGCCCAGTGGCCGCAGGATGACAGAGAAGAGCGAACAACAATAATTTAAGCTGATATACATAAAGAACCTGGGAAAATCACAGATTTATGCCAAACTTCCTCCCGTCAGCAGGTGGCGCTATAACTGTGACTTAAGAATGGCATGTAGATGTCTTCAGGAGAGGATTTTAATCAACCATGTGAATTGTCAGGCAGGTCAGACATTGTGTGGTTGAGTTATAATGCAAACTACCATCTGCCCGCAGGTGGCGCTATAACTGTGAATTAAGATTGGCATGTAGATGCCTTCAGTAATGGAATTTAATCAACCATGTGAAGTTTCAGGCAGATCAGACATTGTGTGGCTGAGTTATAAGCCAAACTACCTTCTGCCAGCAGGTGGCGCTATGACTGACTCAATATTGTTATGTAGATGTGTTCAGGAGAGGACTTTTATCGACCATGTGAAGTTTCAAGCTGATCCGACTTTGTGTGGTTGAGTTATAAGGACTTCCTGTTCCACGGCGAAGCGTTGAGGTTTGTCATGCTGCCACGGACACGCCCCTCTGTGAAAACTCTAGATCTTCACAATATATCATCGCTAGAGCTTTTCGATAACACCACCCTATTTTGGTGCTGATACAATAAAATTTGTGGGAGGAGTTTGTTACTCTGTAAACCATGTCAAATCCTGTGGCCAGCAGGTGGCGCTATAACCGTATCTGGATATCGGCATGTAAACATGTTCAGGTCAGGACTCTTATCAAACGTGTGAATTTTGAGACAGATCGGATAATGCATGCCTGAGTTATAACGACTTCCTGTTTTGTGGCGAATCATCAAAGTTTGCGAGGCCGCCACGGACACGCCCATCGACGAAAACTCTAATGCTTCGCAATTTAACATCGCCAAGGCCTTTAGATGACAAAACCTAATTTTGGTGTTGATCGGATAAAATCCCTAGGAGGAGGTCGTTAAAATACAACGCCTGGAAATGGCAAAAACGGCACTTTTTTGCCGCAGGAGGTTAAAAATATTCGACTTCCTGTTGGGTTTAAGATATGGCTCCAAGGGACTTTTTTGTATTTTTTGGCATGTTTGGGGTGTGTGCCAATTTCCTGCATGTGCGTGATTCGTAGATCGGGGGCTCGTCAGTTTAATTTTTCTAGGTGGCGCTGTCGAGTCATTTTGCCACGCCCACTTCCGAAGCCCATAATAAACGTAAATTTTCGCCACTTCTTAGGCGTGTGCAAAGTTGTAAGAGTTTTCAGGCATGTTTAGCCCCTCAAAACCGCAATTCATTCCGCAGAAGAAGAAGAAGAAGAAGAAGAAACGGAGCAATTCCAATAGGGCCTTGCACCGTTCGGTGCTCGGTCCCTAATAAACAGTGCTTCATGCTTGTCTAGTGAATTCAGTATTCAAGTACTGAATTAAAAGCAATCATAATTTATCTGACCTGAATGCTTTATGCTGTCTTAACTAGCCCCGGCAGCTAGCTCTCTGCAACTCTCACATGGTTGCCCACTATAGCTAAGCAAGGCTGCGCCAGGTCAGTGCCTGGATGGGAGACCACAGGGAAAAGCTAGGTAGATGGCGGAAGTGGAGTTAGTGAGACCAGCAGGGGTGCTCAATGTGGGTTGTAATGCCCCAGTATATTGATGGGGACTCGATACTGCTTGATGAGTGCTGTCTTTCAGATGAGATGTCTTTTAAAAACCCAGGAAAAAAGAGTAGGGGTTTAACCAGCATCATGGCCTCCTAACCATTCTTCTCATAACTGACTTCATCACTCAATCAGCTGGTGTGTGGTGTGGGGTCTGGCGCAATACGGCTGCCGTCAGGTCATTCACGTGCTGCACACTGGTGATAGATGAGGAGATCCCCCCCCCAAACAATTTGTAAAATAAATGTAAGGAATTATTATTTTTATCTATGAGGTAAGATTCAAACGCTAAGCAATTTGGCTGTCTGCACCAAATGCGATGTGACATTACAGAAACATTTAAATACCAGCCACTGCGCTCCTGGTATTGTAATGATTTGTTTTAAAAATGCATCGGAATGATGAGCAGTGTTATAATCACCAGCAATCTAGATGGATTGAATGGATTGCTGGAGAACTGCACACACGCCATGTTAATAAACTACAACTCCCAGCATGTACCTCGCACACACCAGTTCCTGATTCCCACTGATTACACACACAGGTGGAAGATCATTATGAACTGATTTCATGGAATAAAAACAAAGCACACACACCCCCCACATGTCATAGCTGAGACTTGTAAACTGTTTAGTGAGCATTACAACACATTTGTCCTTGCTTTGCCATGTTTGACCTTTGCTTTGTTTCTTTGTTTATGTTGTTTGCTGCCTGTACCGAGCATTCCTGTTTACTGACCACGCTTTGGATTACATCTGTTTGTTACTGTTTAGACCTTTGCTTTGCCAGATGATACTCTTAATAAACTGCTATTGGATCCTTAACTCAGTTGTCCAGGATCTCACCATGACAAGCTGGCCCGTCTACTCCATCTGTGACCAAAACCGCAAGTCCTCCAGCTTGGAGACATTTAACATGGCTTAATTACTTTTACACTTTACAAAATTAATTCCTAAATCAGACCTTACAAGCTCCGTTGCTTGGTCAACTATGATCCCAACTTGAAATATGTGTTTGATGGAAATTTGACGGAAAACATCATTAAAAATCTTCGCTTCTCATAGTAACTGCTTGTCCTTGAGGCAAAAATTTTTCCCCTTTTGGTCAAATCAACAAGTCCCATTTGTACAGCACTGTATACGATGCCGAGTATGGCAGGAAATCCACTCCGCTACAAGAAGAGCTGTCTAAAGCTCGCCAAACCATTATCAATACAACATCTCAGTCAAAATGAATGCAAATCTTAAGGACTTTTTGGAAACAATGCCACCTTATGATCATATGATCTAATGGATCAGTGGTCTCAAGCTCAATTCCTGGAGGGCCACAGCTCTGCAGATTTGATCTCCAACCACCTCCAAATCACACCTGACAATAGTCTAGATAGATCAGTTGTGTTTGGTTAGGGTTGTACCAAAACTGTGCAAAGCTGTGGCCCTCCAGGAATTGAGTTTGAGACCTTTGCTATAGATGGACACTCTCCTTAGTGTCTGAAGTCTACTCCAGCACGTCCCAAAGACTTTCAATGGGGTTAAGGTCGATTGGTGTTTCAAGCAGGAACATGTTTTATAGTTTGACGAGTCTTGGCATTATCATCCACATGATAAGTCTTCCTTTTTAAGAAACGTTCTGCACACTGCATTAGATAGGTACACAAGTATTAAAGTACCAAATTACTATACAAAACATATACATAAACATCTGCAATGCTTAAAATGAACTGGAATTCTAACTCCAAGACAGCCTGTGAAATGAAAACTGAAGTCTTCTTGAGGCTTACTGGAAGAAAGCTTAAATCGAAGGCCTAAATCGAAGGTCAGAATTAGTCGGACATCTGTCTTTACCAAATCTCCCCTCTTTGACCTCTAGATTCACTACTTAGCATCACTGCCAATTAGAGAAGAATCCTGCTGCAAAACAGAACAAGGAGGAATATGCTGATGGAATTTACACAGAGAATAAAAAGGGCACAAGTTTGATAAGCCTGTTGCAGTAAGGCATGTAAATGCTAACATTTGAAATCAATTACTTGTTTTAATGCAATTCTCATTGTAATTTTTCACATATATAAAAAATGTATGTCTGAGCCAACTCACCTAAAAGAAATGTGCACTGACTTATCTTCAAACATATCAGAGCCTTTGTTTTTTCTCAAGAAGGTTTTTTGGTGACATTTATGTAAAAAAAAATACTTAAATGTCCTGACTATGACCTAATCCTGGCTTTTCTCTAATCGCTTTGTGTGAATCCAATTGTTTAAATTGTTGCTTTTACAATTGGTTAGTTAAAGCTAACAGAAACTAATGCCGAGTTCAGACTGCATGATTTTCGAACTAGTCGTGTCACAGATGTTTTCACACTGCTTGACTATCTGGGCTAGCGTTTCGTCGCTGCTTTGTTTACACTGCATGATGGATTGGCGACATGGACATTCACATTGCATGACTTTACTATAGGGAGAATCGCCGACAACTTCGTCCAAACTACGTCTCACATCCAAAAACATGTAGTTTATCTTTTGTTATTAACTACATAATGAGAAAGAAGCCTTTAATGGGGTAGAACGTGTACATATTTGCTCACCTGGGTTTAAAGGGAATTAGCCATTTCTCCTCAACGTTGATAATAAACTAATTTCTTTCTGTATGAAACGTCAAACAGACACGGGTGCTCCTGAGTCCTGTCAAACCTCCACTAGTTTTTCCTACATTTCGTGGGTCCAAATAAATCGAAAAAGAGCGCTTTTAACTTCTCCCCCAGCCTCCCGCTGGCCTGCAGCAGTTATACACACACACAAGTGAAAGCTGCTCTCTCATTGGCTGTAGGCGATCGCTGATGTTATTTTCAGTCAAAACTCAATTCACACGGCATGATTTGAATCGCCGACAGCTCCAGATATTCAGCACGCCAAATATCTCGCAGGCATCGGCGACTCATCTGCGATTCTCTCAGATCGCGTCTTTGATCGTTCATACTGTGTGATTGTCACTCACGTGCACGAGCAGCGGTTTGCCTGTTATTTGAGGCATTTGTCGGCGATTTCTCAAAACCTGTCGGCGAGCCAAAATCGGGGTTAAAATCACGCAGTCTGAACTAGGCATAAGCAGCTCTAATCAATAATAATTTCAGTGACTGAATGTGTACGATCAATTATTTATTTATTTTCTTGTCGGCTTAGTCCCTTTATTAATCCGGGGTCGCCACAGCGGAATGAACCGCCAACTTATCCAGCAAGTTTTTACGCAGCCGATACCCTTCCAGCCGCAACTCATCTCTGGGAAACATCCACACACACACTCACACACACTCATACACTACGGACAATTTAGCCTACCCAATTCACCCCTACCGCATGTGTTTGGACTGTGGGGGAAACCAGAGCACCCAGAGGAAACCCACGCAAAGGCAGGGAGAACATGCAAACTCCACACAGAAACGCCAACTGAGCCGAGGTTCGAACCAGCGACCTTCTTGCTGTGAGACGACAGCACTACCTACTGCGCCACTGCCTCGCCCTACGATCTATTAAAGTTCTTTTATTAGTCAGAAATATGTGTGCCAAAACAAATCCTGTTGGAAAACCACACAAAAGTTTTTCTACTCTAAAGCAGCCTCCAACACAGTCACTCTCAAGTTGTGTACAATATTTCTCTATCACATAAAGATAAGCGGGTCCTGCTGTTACATAAGAGAATGCTTTATTATTAGACCTGCAGCCCCCAGATCACTTTCTCCCTCATCATATTACCATCCCCGTGACTTGACAGCAGCAGCTGAGAACAGTGTTTGGATTCAGAGAGCATTTCATATTTGTCCTTAGCAGGACACGGCAGAGCACTTGGTATATTCATTCTGTTGGTGTAAAACAGGCAAACACATACCAAAGTTCTCTACTCTACACTCTTTTGGAAAGATCAGGCAACGGCTCGTAGAAACATTCACTACTTCATCATTACTTCAAACTTTAAAAAAATATCTGTTAACAAACCGTTTCCATATATTAAAGTGCTTGTTTACGTTTGTGATTTGCATTATGGGATGTTGATCTCTGCTTTGTCGACTTTTGATGTTGAAAATTCAGCTCTACAGTTGAACAAAGTGACTTTTATTGACAATTTAGTAGTTTAACATAATAATATATACAACAGTTCTGTCTGGTTTTCGAATCTAATTGGCTGATAGCCATGTGATATTCTGCAATATCAGTACTCGTACAGCTTCTTCACCCTTCTGTATTACTCCGCCAACATAGAGTGACAGCAGATCAATAAACTCACTGCAGTTTGACAAATATTGGACAACATAATGTACTTTCGAGGTTTTTTAGGCAATAGTGTAGTTGTTTAGATTGCAACTCCGCAGTAATACTAGGAAATCTCTGTAGACTGATGGCATTTCAAGCCGTTCAGCCTTATAATCTTAAAATGTGAGCAAAATCACCTGTTTTGTCATCCCTTTACCCTTAATTATTTAAAACTAGCTCTTAAGTGAGGTTGGTGAATTAGCAATCGTTTCTGCTGTTCTGATGTCAGCTGCAGATGTGAATGAATGGCAAAACAAAGAAGTTCCTCATACAAACGGATTTTAGACTGTCCGTGCTTCTTTTTCTTTTCTTTTTTTTTTGATTACGCTTTTGAATTGTTGTATAAACGCAATATCACACGAGTAGCAGTGTTATCGTCTCCTCCCACCAGTGCCGATATACAGCAATATCGCACTGCTACTTATGTGATATTGCACATATGTTTAAGACATAATATGAAGAGAAAGATTTCATTCATTTTCCTTCAGCTTAGTCCCTTATTTATCAGGGGTCACCACAGCGGAATTAAACCACCAACATACGTTTGGCATACGTTTTACACAGTGGATGCCCTTCCAGTCACAACTCAGTACTGGGAACAGAAAATAAAAACAGAAAAAAGAAACGCCTTTTGTAGCATAATATCTAACACCAACTCAGACAATATATCACTTTAAACTATTAAAAATGTTAAGAAAAGTCACTTTTTCAAACTTATCAAGGTTAAAAGTTGCTGGAAGAGAGATTAAGATCCAATAATGCTATTCAAAACAAAATAAATGGGAAATTAAATAAAAATACATGAAAACTGCAACATTTTTTTACACTTTTATCCTCTTAAGGCCAAGCAGTTATCAAAAAGATTTTTAACATCCACTTTTTATTTCTCTTTGCTATTTGGGCTTATTGGAACCTAATTAGAATAAAAGCTTATTTTCATCTTTTGATATGATGTCCTTTTAGAGGAAAATGATGTCTATATATGTGGACTCGTGGTCTGAATTTACATAAAACACAATAAAGTCACCTTTGTGTAAAAGAATGAAAAACTCTTTATTTCTGCCTTGAACACAGCAGTTTTTTTTACTGTTTTTAATGCATTAATAAAACATACACACATATTTTTTAACATGTTTTGACTATCAGTAGTTTTGGACAGTTAAAATAGTGTTTGGGATAGGCATGGGACAATTACTGTTTTCAAGGTATACCACGGTTTGGAAAATTCAGGGTTTTAAAACCATCAAAATTTTCTTCAATGCCATTCCTAAGGAATGTGTACGAGTTTTTATTCCCTTTTTTTTTTTTTTTTTATGTCTTTTAATAACAACATTATATCCAGCAGAAAAGATGCTGTTTTAAATTATGATAAAATCTGTTTTTGAAACAAATGAAGACAGCAGAAGTCAATGATTCATTTAGCCTGACACATTTACTGCTCCAAAATATTATAAATGTTTCTCAAAATAAAATGTATTGTGTTCAAAAGGGAAAAAAGTTGTTGTTTTTTAACCAGACATTTAAAAAGAATATATTTTAGAGCAGTAATCACAATACCGCGAAACCATGATATTTTAATCCAAGGTTATCATAGCGTTAGAATCTTATATATCACTGAAAAAATTATTCAGAGATGATTCCTTGGATTTACTCAATTTTTTTTATGTTAAGTGGTTGTAAACAATTTATTTGTGTTGAATTTAAACTAACAAATTAAGTTGAACATTATTAAACTTAATTTGTTTGTTTAGGTTCAACACAAATAAATTGTTTGCAACAGTTCTGCATGCAACACTTTTTTCAACCCATGTTTGGGACATTTCATATGCTGCAAAACAGTTGATGACACTGTATGTCTATGACAAAATTTAAGACATAAGAGCTAAAATGTGCTGTCCACGTACTGTAAGTGGCCACTAAGCCCTAGAAGGTTAAATCTGATTCATTTGCTCATGTCGATTAAGCTATAAAAAGATGCAATAAATGAAAGACTGAATTAAGGATAGGTGTTTAAAGGGGATTACGATCGGATAAAAGTAGAACTAATGCCACCCTCTCTGAATGTTTCATGCAATTAAACAAGAAAACAAGCTCAAAGTGTCTTATAACAACTGATCCGAAGATCAAACTAAAAATCATGTGAAGGAAAAGTGTTCAGTTTGAGATCATGACTTAAACAAGCAAGAGCTCAAATCAATCTGATTTCATTTATTCAGATTTTTGTATACAAAAGTCACCAAAACGCTTTCATTAAACTAATTTTACTGGCACTCTTTAGACAGTTTAATCTGAGCGACACATGATTCAAGTTAACCCAAGCCGGAGTCTTTGCTTTAAAGCAAATGACTTTTCAATGAAAAGTATTGAATATTCAGACAGAACTAAGATAAAGTTATGGAACAGCTCAAGTCAGTCACTAAGCCTACACCTGCTACATGCTTTCAGCTGGAGTCAACGGGGTAAAAAAATAAAATACAAACACAGACAAAAGCATCTTTCCCTTACCTTTGAGGAAAAGCTTTCATCTATGATGCTTTGAAAGGCAAGACAAAATCGGTCTGCCTGATCTCAAGCTCCCACAGAAAGACACGTACTTGAACCAAGACGAAATGACTCACAAAAGCACACGCGCACACGTGGAAACTCCCTCCCAGTCTGCGAGTGACTCCTTCTCTGGACGCCACTGATTTGGCGTGAGAGGAAAAACTGATGTCTGGTGCTACAAACAAGCCAGTGTTTCTAGTCGTTGTTGTTTTTTTTAAGCCGGTTAGTGCTCCTTATGTTCAGCTGAAGTTACCTGTGGTCAAAGCTGAACCCCCAGCTATTTCCCATGGAGGTTTAGCACTCACCAGAATGTGCTATCTGACCCTGCGTAACACCATCACCCCCACACTGAAAGCGCAGGGCAGGAGGAAGGGCAGTAGGAGAAAATAAGCAGGGGGGGAAAGGAGGAGGAGGAGTTAAGGCTGAATTCCTTTTTAAATTCTGTGATGAACCACAAACTCCTCAAAAAAAAAACCCTTATGCATTTGTGACATTCCTCGTTCCTGCTTATAACATCCCTCAATTTCAATCTGCTTCCAGAAAATGTACGGTTTAAGTCAGAATTATTAGCCCCTGGTTTCATTTTTTCCTCATTTTCTGTTTAACGGAGAGTAGATTTTCTCAACACATTTCTAATCATAATAGTTTTAATATGCAGATCTTTCCATTCAGATACTATACATTCAGAGGCTATACAAAAACAAAACATGTAGCTTACAGAGAGAAACCAAAGTAGTCCAATTGTAAGGCACTTTTAGTTCTCAAAACGTTCTGGGAGTATTTTCTGATGGTTAATCTGAAAGGTTTTCTTTATGTAAACAGAACGTTCGGTCTAGGTGGTCGTAAACCCTTTCAGATTCTCTTTAACTTCTCTTTTTAATAAAATACCTCCATATAGCAATCAGATTTGACTTTTATTCTCCCGACATCACTAATTGAATTGTTGCTATCAATTATTTTCACTCGTTAAATGTCTTCACATAGGCCTAATTGCCTATTCTTAATATCAACAATTAAAATGGTAATTTTTAATATCAATAATTTGAATGTTACTAAAGTTAATTTATGATATTATGAATGCAATTGTTACTAAGATAGCCATTTTTAATCTCATAAAAATATTCTTATCAGAAATGGATTTAAGATGTAAATAACTTGTGTAACATGTTGAAGTACATTTTGTGATATCAAGAATTTCCATTTTAAATATCAATGTAATTCTTGATATCAGTCATTTAAATTCTTACTAGCAGTAATTAAATTGTTGTTATAGACATAAGCATAGACACTTTGTCATGATGACAGTAAATAACATTTGACTTGATATTCTTCAAGACACTTCTACACAGCTTAAAGTGACATTTAAATGCTTAACTAGGTTAATTTGGTTAATTAGGCAGGTTAGGGTAATTAGGCAAGTTATTGTATAACGATGGTTTGTTCTGTAGGCTATCGAAAAAATATACAGCAAAAATGGGCTAATAATTTTGCCTCTAAAATGGTGTTTAAAAATTAAAAACTGCTTTTAATCTAGCCGAAATAAAACAAACAAGAATTCCTCCAGAAGAAAAAATATAATCAGACATACTGTGAAAATTTCCTTACTCTGTTAAACATCATTTGGGAAATATTTAAAAAAGTAAACATCAAAGGGGGGCTAATAATTCTGACTTCAGCAGACATTAAACTGACTATAAGACACTTTGCAAACTACATGTACACTAACCTTAACATTCTACTTATAATTCAATGAGAATTAGTTGGTATGTAGATGCAATGTAACTGAAATTCAACAAAAGGGCCATTAAGATAAAGCGCGACCAATTATTTTAACATTACATTTCAAGTCTAAGATACAGAGGTATGGGAATGGAAATTTGGAAGTTCTTTCTGAGACGTTAAAGTTGCAATTACGACCGGATCCAATGTTTTTAATTCTGGGATTCTCTGAACAAACGCATTGGTTGTCAAATACACAACATAAATTGCTCTCATACTCTTGATCTACTGCTAAGAAGCTACTGCTACCGCTTCGGGAAAAAAAGCTATCCCCTTCATGTAAACAGTGGCTTGGAGAAATCACCTCGATGGTACATTTGGAGCGAATTAGATTTTATTTGAAAACAAAAGATTTGCACGCTATTGAAGAAGTCACAGTCACAGAAGATATTTGGTATATAATACTTCAATTTTCACACAATTTTGAAGTCTGAACTCTGAACTTTCGTTGTACACACTAAATATGATTTACATTCATAGTGAAGCAAAACTAAATTTTGCATCCTTTTATCTGTTACCTTAAAAAAAAAATCTGTAATGTTTTAATATGCTATGTCATCATACTCTGTTGTTCAACCAGGACTTTGTAAACAAGTTGGCTTTTTTATTTATATTATTCATTCATTCATTTTCTTGTTAATCTGGTAACCAGAAATGGATCCAAGATATCTATTTCCTTGTGCATATTTAATAAATGTCTCTGTCTGTTAGATTTGTCTATGCCTTGCGCAATGTAGGGGTGAATGTGCAGACATTTTTCCTGCGGTCAGAACTATCCATCTTGATATTGCCAAAACATCAACAAAATGTTACTACTGTTCTCTGTTATTAATTAATTATGATAAATTGTGCCAGTTAAGGAGATAATGCAATACTTCACAATGAATGTCAATCATATTTAGTGTGTACAACGAAAGTTGAAATACTTCAAAATTGTGTAAAAATTGAAGTATTATATACCAAATATCTTCTTCTGTGACTGTGACTTCTTCAATAGCATGCAATGAAATATAGTATGTGTGTGTGTGTGAGTGTGTGTGTGTGTGTGTTTGAATTTGGAGCAGTTACATAAGCACTGCAGGTAAAATTACGATGTTATGTTGTTGGCTGCTGCTATATGCTCAGGTCAAATTTTATTTAACCTATGTCTATTTCACGAATAAATAAATAAATGAATGATATAAATAAATAAATAAATAAATAAATAAATAAATAAATAAATAAATAAATAAATAAATAAATAAATAAATAAAGACAAAAGTAGCCTAAGATTTATTTACTGACACCAAATCTGACAATACACATGGTCGTGGTTTTCTTTTGGCCAGAACGCACTTAATTACCCCTTAAATGTTATCAGTTCTTCTTGTTTATTTTATAGATAACAACAAAAAAACATTAAAATGAAAATACTAATTATACCAAACAGAAACCACTTCAAAAAGAAGATTTTTAATAAAAATATAGCCTAGGCTAAGTGTTTACAAATAGGTCTGACTCACTCTTGAGAAGAACTGCACAATTTAAAGCTGCAATTGACAAAATAGCATTCGATAAAGTGTGATATTATACAGCATGTTCATTTATGTATAATCTGAGTGAAGAGTCGATTTCAGAGTCAACTCCAAAATCAGGAGTCGAGAATCAGAGTCAACTCCACAAAGCTTGAAACTAAACACTCCTAATGCAAATAAACTACTTTGCTTACTTGCTGCTAATAAGATACCAGAATCTCCTTTTTTGATCATCCTTGAATAAATCTTAAGAGAAGCATCTATGAAAGTTTGTAGATCATGTTTTCAGCCATTTTACACGGCCACTGGTGATTAGCTCAACAATTAAAAGGGCACAATGTGTGAAGAGGATCATCAGGACAATGAGAGAGCTTCCATTGTGAATGCTTAAAGGGGTTGGGGCCTTTGAAACGGGGATGTCTTTGTGTGGATTAGGGACATGAGGTCATGCATATTCAAAGGCATGATCCTGCTAATTACACTCAGGACAATGCAATTCAGCCTTTGCCGGGATGTATGCAAAGCTAATTAACAGCATCTGCTGGCACATTCAAAAGTGTGTTTGCTAAGAGAGAAAAAAACTCAACTGTATAGAAGTGTACAAGATTGATTTCACTTCCATGGGGATTCAACTTTAGTTAACAAACACAAGCGCCACAGACCTTCAGAATATGAAAAAAGTCTAGACTCTGTACTCCTAAGGCCCGGGACACACCAAGCTGATGCCAAACAACAAGCGCCAACAAAATCAACAGTGTTGTCAGCTGGTCCCATCTGAGCAGGGTCTGTCTGCGGACTGCAAGACAGGGGTGTAACTTGTAGTAACTTGAAGTTTTGGAGACCCACATGTCAAAACTGTCAGCAAGATCACGCTGCACCCATTACTTATTAACGTCTATACCTAGTCCACACATAAAACCCCACCTTTACAGTTAATATTGTCTACACCTACCCTAACCCTAAACCCAACCATCACAGTTATTAATGTCTACACCTACTCCAACCTTAAACCCAACCATCACAGTTATTAATGTCTACACCTACACCAACCTTTAACCCAACCATCACAGTTATTAACGTCTACACCTACTCCAACCCTAAACCCAACCATCACAGTTATTAACGTCTACACCTACTCCAACCCTAAACCCAACCATCACAGTTATTAATGTCTACACCTACTCCAACCTTAAACCCAACCATCACAGTTATTAATGTCTACACCTACTCCAACCTTAAACCCAACCATCACAGTTATTAATGTCTACACCTACTCCAACCTTAAACACAACCATCACAGTTATTAATGTCTACACTTACTCCAACCTTAAACCCAACCATCACAGTTATTAATGTCTACACTTACTCCAACCTTAAACACAACCATCACAGTTATTAACGTCTACACCTACTCCAACCTTAAACCCAACCATCACAGTTATTAATGTCTACACCTACTCCAACCTTAAACCCAACCATCACAGTTATTAATGTCTACACCTACTCCAACCTTAAACACAACCATCACAGTTATTAATGTCTACACTTACTCCAACCTTAAACCCAACCATCACAGTTATTAATGTCTACACTTACTCCAACCTTTAACCCAACCATCACAGTTATTAATGTCTACACCTACTCCAACCTTAAACCCAACCATCACAGTTATTAATGTCTACACCTACTCCAACCTTAAACCCAACCATCACAGTTATTAATGTCTACACTTACTCCAACGTTAAACCCAACCATCACAGTTATTAATGTCTACACTTACTCCAACCTTTAACCCAACCATCACAGTTATTAATGTCTACACCTACTCCAACCTTAAACCCAACCATCACAGTTATTAATGTCTACACCTACTCCAACCTTAAACCCAACCATCACAGTTATTAATGTCTACACCTACTCCAACCCTAAACCCAACCATCACAGTTATTAACGTCTACACCTACTCCAACCCTAAACCCAACCATCACAGTTATTAACGTCTACACCTACTCCAACCCTAAACCCAACCATCACAGTTATTAATGTCTACACCTACTCCAACCTTA